AGAAAAATGAAATAATAAAAAAATTCAGCTTATATAACGACCAAAACTAGTAAATATATGGAAATAAATTTAACAAGACGGGTGAGAGCTCCACATTGTAAACTTTAAAACATGTTGATCAACATTAAAGAAGACGAGTTATAAGGTAAATACTCAACACTATTGAGATGTTAGTTCTCTCCAAACTTATCTATAGATTCAATACGTTAAAATGAAATTCAATAAAATTCCAGCAGGCCTTTTAATAGAAATTGCCAAGGTGATTCTAAATTTTGTAAGGAAATGCAAAGGACCTAGAATAAATAAACAATTCTGATTAGAAGAGTTACACATTGTGCCTTTAAGGTATACTAAAAAACTGCAGTAATCAAGGTAGTTTGGCCATGACTTACAGACTGTACATAGATCAATAAGATAGAATAGAAAGCCGATAAACAGTCATTTGATTTTGGCCAAAGGTGCCAAAGTAATCCAATAGCACCAGAAAGACAATTCATCAAAATGGACTGGAATAATTGGCTGTAAATATGGAAAAACAAGAATATCGACTTCTCCAGCAAATCACACCCACACATACACACATACACACACACACACACACACTCACACGTATATGCACATACACAAATTTAAGGTCATAACAGACCAAAACTAAAAGCTAAAGTTATGAAGAGCTTAGAAGCAAACATACAATATCTTTGTGATTTGCAGTTAGGCAATGTTTCTTAGGTCCTAGAAAGTGATGAACATAAAGAAAGAAACTGATAAATTGAAATTTATTTAAAATTATAACTTTTTACTTGTTAAAAGACACAATTTAAAAAAAAATGAATTAAAAGGTCACAGACAGGAACAAAGCATAACAAGAACTATATTTGACTAAGGACTGGTCTCCAAATTATATGGTGGCTCATGCCTGTAATCCTATCACTATGGGAGACCAAGGTGGGTGAATCGCCTGAGCTCAGGAGTTCAAGACCAGACTGGCCAACACGGTGAAACCCCATCTCTACTAAAATACAAAAAATTTGCCGGACATTGTGGCGGATGCCTGTTGTCCCAGCTACTGGGGAGGCTGAGGTACGAGAATCACTTGAGTCCAGGAGGCAGAGGTTGCAGTGAGCCAAGATCACGCCACTCTACTCTAGCCTGGATGACAGAGCAAGAAAAAAAAAATCTCCTCCAACTCAATAATAGCAGTACAAATAACCCAATAAAAAAGGATAAATATTTAAAGGTAAAAAATATATAAAAATGATAAAATAAGCACATACATGAGTTTTCAACAGGAAACAGAACATTTAATAAAAATTAAATATTACAACTAACCAACTACTATAGCTAAAATTTTTTTAAGTGACAATATAAAATGATGAAGAATACATACAGCAGCTAGTATTGTCATACGTTGCTGGTAGTTACTAAAATTTTACAAACACCTTGGAAAAGAATCTGTCAGATTTCTATGAAACTAAACATATACATATCCTGTGACTCAGGAGTATCACTCCTTGGTGTTCACCAAAGAGAAATGAAAACATATGTTTGTAAAAAGGCTGTGCATGAATGCTCATAGAAGTTTTACTAATGATAGCCAAACACTGAAAACAGCCCACATGTCTATCAATAGGAGAATGGATGAATGAACTGCATTATGTTTATTCAACAGAATACTACCAGAAAATAAAGCAAACTTTTTATAAATGCAGCAACGTGAATGAATCTCAGTATCAGTATGCTAAAATTTAAAAGTCTTACACAAAAGAGTACATGTAGTATGATTCTCATTTTAAAACTTTTCAGAATGGACAAAAGTAATCCATGGCAAAAAAAAACTTCCAAGGACAGATTTTGAGAGGAGGTGGCTAAGAAGAAGCGTGAAGAACTTTTCTGGGTGATAGTTCTGTATTTTTATAGGAGTTTTATAGGTATGGGCATTTGCCAGAACTCAATGGATGGACCCAGCAATTCCACTTCTGGGTGTTTATGTAAAAGATTTGGAATCACTATGTGGAAAAGATGTCTCCTCCCCATGTTCATTGCAACAATATTCACAATAGCCAAATTATGGAATCAACCATCAGCAGATGAATAGATAAAGAGAATATGGTAAAGATACACAATGGAATGATGTTCAGCCTTAAAATAGAAGAAAATTCTGTCATTTATGACAACATGTATGGAATTGGAGAACATTATGCCAAATGAAAAAAGCCAGGCAACGGAAGACAAATACTGCATTATCTCGTTGATATGTGGAATCTAGAAAAATTGAACTCATAGAAGCAGAGAGTAAAATGGCGGCTACCAGTGACTGGAGCTGTAGGAAAAAGGGGGAGATGATGGTCAAAGGGTACAAAGCCCAAGTTACATGGGATGAATAAGTTAGTTTGTGTTTTATTGAGATCCATTGCATAGCACGATGAATTTACTTAATAATAGTGTGTTTTACGATACAAAATCTTATTGAGTAAATTTCAAATGTTTTCACCACAAAAAAAATAAGTATTTGAGGTGATAGATATGTTAATTAGCTTGATTTAATTATTTCACATTGTATTCATTAATCATAACATCACTTTGGCCACATAAATATATACAATCATAGTCTGTCAAATTACAATAAATGAATACATGCATGCATACATACCTACATAAAATTCAACAAATATGTAGATGCACATTTAAGATTTATGCATTTCATTTTATGAAAATGTTACACAAATAAAAAATTAATTGTAAACCTATATATTAGGCTGGGTGGAGTGGCACACGCCTGTAATCCTAGCACTTTGAGGGCCAAGGCAGGAGGATTGCTTGAACCAAAGAGTTTCAGACCAGCCTGGATAACATGGTGAAATGCCATCTCTGCAAAAATACAATTAGCTGGGTGTGGTGACATGGGCCTGTAGTTGCAGCTACTTGGGAGAATGAGGTGGGAGGATCACCTGAGCCCAGGAGGTTGAGAGCAAGGCTACAGTGAGCCGTTATTGTGCCACTGCACTCCAGCCTGGGTGACAGAGTGAGGCTGTATCTCAAAACAATCAAACAAACAAACCAAAAACAAATACTAAACTCGAATGCTAAGCTTGTTCATGTATTGAGAGGAAAGCAAACTGATGTCTGTAATATAATTTGAAATGCATAAAAATAACATGGAAGATGAATGGATTGATCGATGGATGAATAGATAGAGGAGGAAGATGATATAAAACAGAAATAGTAAAATATGAATGAATATGTGTATGTATGTGTACCTTAATGGGTCTATGGGTATATGTATATGTTAGTGGGTATATGGATTTTTTCAATTCTGCCCTGTGTGTTAAAATTTTATCATAGTAAACTTTTTGGGAACATTAACTAGATGCAACAGGTAAATAGAATATAATTATTTTGTGGTTGTTTTGAAAGAGCAAATATAAATTGTATAATAAATTGCTTGGTTGTATAGCAGATTCTAAATTAATATTTCTGGGGAGTCATATACATATACAAATAAAACTCTTCATCTATTAATAGATTTATTATAGCGAACAGAAAGTTGACCCAATCAATGTTTCCACGGAATGAATATACAATCTGATTTGACATTGTTGTCATAGAAAAATTCATCACTATTTCTCAACATGAGTTTATAAAATAAGTATGTATTTTTATCAAAACCAAGCTGAATGAAACTTAGAGGGGAAACGTTGGAAAGTGTGGTCATGGAGAAAAAGACAAATAGAAATCTAAATAAGATCAGTTTCTGTTTATTACTGTGTTATGAAAACATCCAATTACGTAATATTCACAGGTTTGGAGGCTCTGTGGTATGCATTAAATTAATTTACTTTGTAGAACTGAGGGAATGAGGCAGTGTTGCCTGTTACACACATTGAAATTAGATTAAACTGCTCTGTGTGTGCGCAACCCAATAACAGGCCACGCCAGGCTGATTAGCAGGATCAAGCAATGGCTAGTACAATGAAATTGACTCAGAGGCCTAGGCAGCCTGGGGGAATTGTGAAAGCAACTTGAAACTCCTCAGTCAGACCACCTGCATCATCGTGTGCTTATGAGTATTGTGACCCTGGACAAGTTATCTTTTCAGTGCACCTATGATTCTTCCTCAGTAAAGTGCAAATTAAACAGTATCTGTCTTATTTACATTTTTCAGGAATTAAAAAGCAACTTAGGGAAAGAGAAATCTCTCAATAAATGTTAGCTTCTTTCATGCTGAGAAGGTAAAAATATGCAGAGTCTAAATATATTATCAGTATAGTTATGGAATTAAGTTTATTATTCTGCACGTGTGTGTGTCTGTGTGTGTGTGTGTTGTTATTTACTTTTAGCTAATAGACCAGAGTCTCAATTCCCCAGCAGTATCACTCTTTCTTTCTACTTAGCATTTGACAGCTCCTCATCCTTTTAATATTTGGGACTCTGAGACAGAGCTATTATGTGTAGAAATGGGCCAATGGAGAAACAATGAAAATTAAACAGCAGCAACAAGAGAGATTATTTTGAAGAATGCCTTGAAGAAAGTTATAGGCATTGCAATTACAGTATTTGGCTACACAAGACGTCTTGACAAAGCAAATGCTCTACAGTTCGTAGTTTACTCTGCAATGGAACTTGGTTTGATATCTAGTTTACACAACTTAGAAGTCACTTTAAAAACCATGTTTTTCAAATTTCTTTTGTTCCACTGATTCCCAACACAGTGATGTATTAACCCTGTTCTTAGAGTGACTATATGGAGTTCAAAAAACTCCAAGTATCCAAAGTAGGGAGTTATTTAGGAGTGGGAGAAGAAGAGCGGCATCTATGATTGCCTTTAAGCTTTTGAGATGTGATTGGCTTACACATGAAGAGCTTTTATTTGAAGAGGAAAAATTCAGATTACATACAAGTAACAATGACTTGAGGAATCCACTTCACTGGCAGTTTTTACGAAAATTGGGATACCATAGTTACTAAAATCTATAAGGTACTGGAATCACAATAGAACTTACCTGGATCTTAGAAGATGAAGGACTAAGGTTTTTCTATTTAGTTTTATTTCATACATCAATTCTTCTTCATATGTTTCCTGAAAAACAAGAGGCATCACATGACTTCAACATGGGCTCATTTAGTGTGTACTGGAGCAAGCAGTGCTTTGGGTGGACGTTCCCTATCTCCAATCCGCCCAGCAGTCCTTTCAGCCAAAAGGCAAAATACTGATAGAGATGAATTGAAAGAGAACTAATACTAGAAGGAAGATTTTACAAACCTCCTTCTAGCTATATTTTAGAACTGATTTCTTCTAGTTGTATTTATATTAGAATAAAATATAAATATATTCAGTTATATTTATTCTTTTATATTTTATATTATTGGTTATATTTTATAGTTTATATTATTAGTTATATTTATATTATAGCTATTTATATTATAATATGGCATATTATAGTTTAATATAATTATAAATAATATATAGCATATTATATATAGTTTCTAGTTATAAAATATAATACAATGGAAAATGCAGATTCTCTCCTCATCCAAGGATACACCATTTACCATATGTCCATGCAGCAGCCCTATACACAGATATCCTGTTCACGCATTTTTAAAACAATTTTTATACATACTGTTTTTTCATCTACTTTCCACTCAATGATAAATCATGACTATTTCCTATTTTAATAAATTTTTCATAGTCTGTGTCTTTAGGCAGCTAAGCACAATGTGAGTGAAACTTCATTTATTTAATCTATATTTACTATGAGAAATTTGGTTTGGGGTATTCCTTGTAGTTGGACAGAGCTGCATTTTCAATGACATGAAAAAAAAATGTAAAGCTTTTGATAAATATTGCCAAACTATCATGAAGAAAGGAAGTGGACATATTTAGAACTTCACCATCAATTTATAGCAGTTTCTGTTTCCTCGCCTTCTTACCAGTAATAGCTATTATGATTAATACAAATATTTCAGACAATGAATTGATAACTTATTGTGATAAATTGTTTTCCTGGATGATCATTCACATCAATATTTTTCCTTTATTTATTGAGTTATTTGTAGTTTTCAAATGGATTCTGATTCATGTTCTTTCACCATTTTCTTTTGTGGTATCTTATTTCTTCATGCTTCATAAAAATTCTCTATAATTTAAGATTCACAGTTGTTGGTCATACGTGTTGCACATTTGTTTGAGATGACTGTCCATTCATTTATTCAATGCCTGCTATTTCAGGCACAGTAATATGGAAAATACAATGGTGTAGAAGGTGGAGGTCTCTGCCCTCATGGAAGCCCCTGCTTGGCAGAGAAAAACACTGGATAACCAAGCACACATAGTGGAGTGTAATGAGCATTATAACAGGAGAGGTGCGAGTACTGTGCCAGGAATATTGCAAGAAGTTGGGGGTGGGGGCAGGGAACAGTACATGCCAAGGCCCTGAGCCAGGAAGGAACATGACACATTTGAAGAACAAAGAGAGGATCAATATTGCTGGAAAATCAAATGGAAGTTGAATAGAAATGAAATGACAAGGTGGGAAGGAGTAAATCATGCACAACCTAGTAAGTCAAGGATTTGGGCCTTATCCTAAGGACAAAGAGAAGCTAAATATCTAGGCAGAAACGTATGGTAGCAAGCATGGTGTTTTAGTACTTTACTTATTATAGATAATGGATAAGCAAAACTCAGTACTGTAGCCAGGAAAACCATTTAAGGCTATTGATGAATGCAGGTGATTTGAGCAGAGGAGTAACGAGTAGATAACTTTAAAAGACATTTACATGCTATTTTTTTGTTGTTGTTATACTTTAAGTCCTAGGGTACATGTGCACAATGTGCAGGTTTGTTACATATGTATACATGTGCCATGTTGGTGTGCTGCACCCATTAACTCGTCGTTTACATCAGGTATATCTCCTAATGCTATCCCTCCTCCCTCCCCGCTCCCCACAATAGGCCCCGGTGTGTGATGTTCCCCTTCCTGTGTCCAAGTGATCTCATTGTTCAATTCCCACCTATGAGTGAGAACATGTGGTGTTTGGTTTTCTGTTCTTGTGGTAGTTTGCTGAGAATGATGGTTTCCAGCTGCATCCATGTCCCTACGAAGGACACGAACTCATCTTTTTTTATGGCTGCATAGTATTCCATGGTGTATATGTGCCACATTTTCTTAATCCAGTCTGTCACTGATGGACATTTGGGTTGATTCCAAGTCTTTGCTATTGTGAATAGTGCTGCAATAAACATACATGTGCATGTGTCTTTATAGCAGCATGATTTATAATCCTTTGGGTATATCCCCAGTAATGGGATGGCTGGGTCGAATGGTATTTCTAGTTCTAGATCCTTGAGGAATCACCACACTGTTTTCCACAATGTTTGAACTAGTTTACAGTTCCACCAACAGTGTAAAAGTGTTCCTATTTCTCCACATCCTCTCCAGCACCTGTTGTTTCCTGACTTTTGAATGATTGTCGTTCTAACTGGTATGAGATGGTATCTCATTGCGGTTTTGATTTGCATTTCTCTGATGGTGAGTGACAATGAGCATTTTTTCATATGTCTGTTGGCTGTATGAATGTCTTCTTTTGGGAAGTGTCTGTTCATATCCTTTGCCCACTTTTTGGTGGGGTTATTTGTTTTTTTCTTGTAAATTTGTTGGTTCTGGGTATTGGCCCTTTGTCAGATGAGTAGATTGCAAAAATTTTCTCCCATTCTGTAGGTTGCCTGTTCACTCTGATAATAGTTTCTTTTGCTGTGCAGAAGCTCTTTAGTTTAATTAGATCCCATTTGTCAATTTTGGCTTTTGTTGCCATTGCTTTTGGTGTTTTAGACATGAAGTCCTTGCCCATGCCTATGTCCTGAGAATCTACAAGGCTCAGTGATAGTTAGATGATGTAAGAGACAGTAGTCAAGACTAAGCCCAGATTTCTGATTTGTTTAACTTGTAGAGCTATGCTACTATAGCAAGGAGGATCTGAAGAGGGGCAACTATGAAGTCGGGAAGGAGAGTTTTGTATTTGCTCAATGTTAAGTGTGCATAAGTTAAGGCTGTTTTGACTGCAAGTTGAACAATAAAATCACAGTTTTATCATAAAGACATAGAATTCCCAGGCGGAGAGCCAAGAAACTAAGCTAGGTACTTAATCAGGTAGAAAGCGTTTGGTCACATTTTGCAACATGATGAGTTGTGTGTGTAGAGGTGTGTATGTGTGTGTGTCTGCGTGTATGTGTACATGCATGTATGGGTGTAATGGAACTTTTTGGAAATTCAAATGTGGATTTTATATTAACAAATATTAAAAGATTATTGTTAATATTGTCAATATTGTTAATATATTTTAAATTGTGTCATTAATATTGTTTTTAATAAGAATTTGGTTTTTAATTTTTATTTTGGAATCATTTTAGGTTTATAGAAAAGCTGGAAAGATAGTGCAGAGTTCCACATACTCTGCACTCAGGTTTCCCTGTTTATTAACATCTGACATTACTATAGTCTATTTGTCACAACGAATGAGAGCCCAGATTCATATATTATTATTAATTAAAGTGTATAGTTATTCAGGTTTTCATAGTTTTTCCCTAATGTACTTTAACTCTTTCAGGATCTGATCCCAGATCCCACACTACATTTAGTTGTCATGTCTCCTTAGCCTCCTCAAGTCTCTCAGTTTCTCAGGTTTTTATTTTTTTATTTTTTATGATCTGGACCTTTATGGGGAGTATCTGTCAAGCATTTTGTAGGATGTCTTACAATTTGTTTTTGTTCTGATGTTTTTCTCATGCTTAGACTGATGTTATGGATTTTGAGGTGAGAACCACAATAGAAAATGCCATTTTATTACACCCTATGAGCCACAGGACTTAACAAGTGTTAAACTTGGTCACGTGGCTGAGGTGGTGTTACCATCTTTCTCTCTGTAAAATTACTCTTTCCCCCCTTCAATACTGTACTCCCTGGAAGGAAGTCACCACCTACAGCCCACACTTAACGGATGGAGATTTAGGTTCCACCTCCTGGAGAGGATAGCATCTACATAAATTATTTGATTCTTCGCCCAGGAGAATTGTCCATTTTTTCCATTTATTTATTATAATTTATTCAATGATTTATTTAGATCAATATGGGCTCATGATATTTATTTATACTTCATGTTATAACACAAAACTGTTATTTATTTTGTTCTTCAAGTTATCCCAGCTTTGGGCATTGGGAGCTCTTTCTGTTGGCTTCTGAATTCTTTTGACAAGACCCCTTCAATGTGGTTTGAATTTTGTTTTGTCTGTTTGAGCACGTTCTGGTACTACAAGAAGCTTTAGGTTCATTGTTTATATTTCTTGCCCTTATCCAAGCTTATCTGGCATATTCATAGTGATATTTTTATTTTATTTTATTTTATTTTATTTTATTGAGAGAGTCTTGCTCTGTTGCCCAGGCTGGAAGCCCAGTGGCATGATCTCAGCTCACTGCAACCTCTGCCTCCTGGGTTCAAGCAATTCTGCCACCTCAGCCTCTGGGGTAGCTGGGATTAGAGGTGCACGCCACCATGCCTGGCTAATTTTTGTAATTTTAGTAGAGATGGGGTTTCACCATGTTGGCCAGGCTGGTCTTGAACTCCTGGCCTTGAGTGATCTGCCCACCTTGGCCTCGCAAAGTGCTGGGGTTACAGGCGTGAGCCACTGCACCCAGCTATAATGAGATTTTTAACATCAGTCTTGATTAAGTCTTAAGACAGTAGTTGTGAGAAGAGCCCACCAGTGTATGCACAATGGGTGTTAGACAACTGGTGAAAGCCCCCTTAGCTGAGTACCAATCTTCAGCCAAGACAAAGTCTGAGACAGTGAGAAAAGAGTTGGATATTAAGAGAGAAATCTTTCAAAGAGAATTGTTGAAGAAAAATAGTTATGTATTACTTCCAAAGGAGAGGAGATGGAGAGTTGCTTTTTTATTTTAATCATCTCAAGTCATAGGAAAGAGATCTCAATGGGACTGTTTAAAAAATTAAAATGTATCTAATGTATGAATGAGAAACCCAACAAGTGAGAACCTGAAAAACTGGCTGTTCTAATGGTGGACAGAAGAAACTCACTGGGAAGGGTTGGGACTTCCATAGTACATTTGGACAAAGTGCCTGTCAATATTTTCCATGAGCTAAATTAAAGCCTAAGGCTTAAAAATCAAGTGCCTAATGAAAAATATCTAAGGACATTAATCTAATGTCTTTTATAACAGTGGAAATTGAAAACATCCTAATTTTCCAGCTTGTTCCCACTTATATATATTCTCTATTTTCTATAACAAGCATTTGTTACTTTTGAAAGTAATATTTCACATATTTTTATTTAATTTTTAAAATCTGAATAAATACCCTTCTAGGCAACAGACCAAGCAGGTCTTTGAGTTCCTCTGAAAGTTGTACATCTTTGCTGCAGACTCTACAAAACAAAACCTGCATACCAGACCTCTGGAAAGCAAAATGCTCAAGATGACATTCACCAGGCACTGGCTCAGAACAAATGAGGTTGTTATAAGTCAGCCTGAAAAGCCGTTGGTGGAATTCCATAAACTGGAAAATTTAGAATGGTATCCCCTAAACCTGAGCTTTACTCCTTTTTGTTTTCTAACCCACTGAGAGGTTGCTTATTCCTAAGCACATACTGTATGCTGAATGGGAATCCTTAGAAAAATTGAAACTCCTCTCTCCCTATTTGCTTTTGGTTGGAGCCAGAGACAACTGTCTACATGCCTGTGAAAGCAATGAGTCTTATTTACTAAATCAAAACCTGTACCTCTATGTCATCATCATGGGTGTGTCCAATATCTCGCTTCTGCATCAGAGGAAGCTTTTTAGGATGAACCAGTTGTTGACCCTCTACTCCAAGGATGACCTTTTCTACAAGGAAACATAGGGGAAAAATCAGTCTGACATTAACATTCATCCACAGCTGCTGAAAAACAGAATTGTTATAATACAGTTCATTTGCCCCCAATTAGCAGCCATGGACAGCAACACTATGAAATATTATTACCACTTTGCTGGCAAGGAAATTGACACTGATATTTACAAATCAGGAGAATATGAGGAAACTTGGAAAGGAGCCAAATAAATCAATGTCCCTCCATTTCCTCCATATTTTTGCCATGTTCTGCAGCTGTAATTTTATTTTTTATTTTATTTATTTATTTTTTTTGAGATAGTCTCACTCTGTCACCCAGGCTGGAGTGCAGTGGCACAATCTCAGCTCACTGCAACCTCTGCCTCTCCGGTTCGAGCGATTCTTCCACCTCAGCGTCCCGAGTAGCTGGGATTACAAGCACACGCCACCATGCCTGGCTAATTTTTGTATTTTTAGTGGAGACGGGGTTTCATCATGTTGGCCAGGCTAGTCTCAAACTCCTGACCTCAGGTGATCCGTCCGCCTCAGCCTCCCAAAGTGCTGGGATTACAGACATGAGCCACCATGCCCCACCTGCGGCTGTCATTTTATTATCCTCATGCTAACCTCTGGATTTTGTCTCCTGTCAAAGCCTGCACTGTTGGCCTGTTTCAATGTAAATTACTGAATTTGGTCTTCCAGGGATGTTTGCATTTAAAGTCTTACCTTCCATAGTTAAGTATAAGGCCTCTACCTGTTAAAGAATTTTGGTCCTGAATCAGTGCTAACCATAATCTTCCATTCATGACCTTAATAGTCATCTTTGAGGTGAGCCCTGCTTAATTAAGGTGTGGTACTTAAAGAACAATAAAGAGGAGAGGGCGGGGGCTTTTTGGAATATGCTCTGATTTGAATCAAAGCTTTACCAATTTATTAGTTGTGTGGTCACGAGTAGCATATCTAATCTCTCTGATCTGTAAATACTCATCTCATTTGCTTTATCTTGTAAAGTGGGGATATTAATTGCGAATTTTAAACACTTTAACATACAAAACAGCTAATGGCCAGCACAGTGCCTGCCATGCTGCAGGTATGCAGTACTTGTCCATTCCCTTCTCCTCCTTACTGTGGGTCAGAGTGTTCAAGAGTGATATGGCATTACACAGATGTGTGGACTCTCATGATTAGCCATAATCCAGTCGAAGCTCTCGGCAAAATCACCAATGCATAGTTAGTGTCTTTATCACTTACAATTTAAAGTTTGTGACTAACATGACCTCATAGCATAATAAGAAAGTCCTGATAAAAGGAGCAAGACATACCTTTAACCTGAAGAATGAGTAAAATCATCAAGAATATACACCCGGGAAGCATTCTGAGTGATTCTGGCAGAGGAGAGCACAAGTGCTTGAGAAAAGGTGTTCACCTTTCTTCCTCCTCGCTTCCACTGCAGGGATGAAGCACCTCACAGATAGGTGGGCAGTTTTGATCCAGCACAAGGAAGTGTTCCTTGAGGGAGTTACACAACATGCTAGGTGCTTGAGGCTAAAACCTGGAGGTTGAACATCATGTTCTAATTAAAGACGACGACTAAGGTGGTGGTGGTGAAGGTTGGCTAGACATAGATTCCTACTTCATGTCTAATATAAATTTGATACCAGATATCTGAAAATTTCAAAAGTGGGAAAAAATCAAGAATGTCTTAGGAAAAAAATGTTGAAAAATATTTATATATGCTCTGGTTGTTTGCCATATAAAAACTATAAGGAACATTTGTTAAAATAAATGAAAAATATTGAAAATTTATGTGGTATAAATCACATATTAAAATTAAAATATCCAAACTCCAGGAATGTATGCAATAAGTAATTAAAAGGTGAGAGTAAGTGTCCTTATAATATAGAACTCTTTCAAATAAATACAAAAAGGAGAATACTAACGGACAAATGTGCAAAAGGCCTGGATAATTCTACCTGTATGTCTGTGTTCTCTTGTTATGTTAGTAGAGTTATCTCAAGGCCAATATAATCTTTTTATCTTCATTTGAGATTCTATGTCTTGCCTGCATCTATATCTCTCTAATATTTCCAAAAACTGAACCAATCTATGTCAATGGACGCTTCCTTTTGATATTTAGACCCTCTACTCCAAGGATAACCTTTTCTACAAGGAAACATAAGGGGAAAAATCCATCTGACATTAACATTCATCCATTGTGATTGAAAAACAGAATTGTTCTCATACCTTTCACTTGCTCCCAGTTAGCAGCCAAGTATAGCAACATTATAAAATATAATCCCCACTTTGCAGGTGGGGAAATTGACACTGATATTTACAAATTGGGAAAATATAAGCAACCTTGGAAAGGAGGCAAAGAAATCAGAGTCCATTGGCTTAAAATGGGGCTAGCATTTTAAGTCAAGACAAAAGTCTCTCCTTTTTGAAAAATTCTCTCTATTCTATATCTCATATACCCCTACTATCACCTTTCTTCCCATTTCCTTTACAGCTAAATTTCTTACACAGTATTATCTGGACCTTTTATAATTTTCTTACCTCCAACTTGTCCTACCACATCCCAGTTCTAGCATCTGCCTTTATTATTCTACTGAAATGGTCAATATCTCCAGTGATTTTACGATTTCCAAGAGATATTTTGTTTCTCATCTCATTAGCCCTCTTGACAATTTTTGTCACTGTTGACCACATCCTTCCCCTTGAACTATTCTATTTAGCTCCCTTGTCACAATAGCCTTCTTAACTTCTTCCTGGTTCAGTGGCAACTTGTAGGCATATCCTCTTCTATGTAGCATTTAAATTTTTGAGTTCCTTGAGGTATTTATTCAATACCCTCTTTTCCCCCAATTATGCTTGTTCCAAAGCCATCTCATCTTCAGTTATGGTTTAATTATTGCTATGCTATACTTCACATTTTATATTTTTAGCCATTTGGGCAACAGATCTTTACAACGAAGTTTCTACTTAATGTCTTCAAGGGAAGGATCAAAGTCCCTGTAAAATCAATATGTGCAAGACTTAAAATACATTTCCCCCCAATTTGTCCTCTGTCTTGGCCAGCAGTGCCATCATCCCTTCAGCATTGCAATTCTGAAAGTCAGGATCATCATTGACATCCCTTATAATCAGTCCACCACTAAGTTTTTTTTTTTGCCTCCATTCTAGTCCAAGACATTCTTTGGTTACATTGCAACAAGTGTAATTATTTATTTATTTTATTATTTTTGAGATGCAGTCTCACTCTCTCACCCAGGTTAGAGTGCAGTGGTACAATCTCAGCTTACTGAAACCTCTGCCTCCTGGGTTCAAGCAATTCTCCTGCCTCAGCTTTCTGAGTAGCTGAGACTACAAGTGTGTGCCACCACACCGAGCTAATTTTTGTATTTTTAGTAAAGATGAGGTTTCACCATGTTGGCCAGGCTGGTCTCAAACTCCTGACCTCAAGTGATCCACCTGCCTCAGCTTCCCAAAATGCTGGAATTACAGGTATGAGTCACTGCGCATGGCCACAAGTGTGATATTTTTAATAAGTAAACCTGACCATGTCACATGCCTGTTAAAAAAATGTTTCAATAGTTTTTCACTGGTGTTAGAAAAAAGACTCACTTGACTTAAATTGCCTGACACTTATTAACTCTGTGGCTTTGGTTAAGGTATGAAACATTTCTATACTTCTGTTTTCTCATCTATAAAATGGGCACAATAATATAAATCTGATAGGAATGACATGAATATTAAATGAATCCATACTGACAAGCCATCTTTTATTCCCTAGTTAATTCACTCCTCACTTCTCTTAACTATTGTATACCCTTTCTTCTTTCCCTATATCTCTAAATCTTCTCTTCATCACTCTCATCTGACCGTCTTGCTTTTCTATTTCACTGGAAAGAAATAAACCATCATAGGAACTCTCACTTTCTCTCATTATGACATCTACCTTACAATGTGTGCCCATATAGACTCATTCCTTCCTGTTTTTATGCATGCACTGTTCACGCTTCTAAGGTCTATTTCCCATTAATATGCAGGATTCTATTCCTTCCTGTCCCCTCAATGTCATCACTCCAGCAATTGTTCCCCATCTCTACTCTATCATCTCATTTAATGTATATATATATATAAAATATCATTTTTTTCTATCCTCTGAAAAATATTTATTCTTTTACATCACTCTCCTTTCAGTTACCACCCATTCTTGGATTCTAACAGTAAAATTTCTAAAATAAATAAATAAATAAAATAAATAAATGTCTACAGTTTATTTCCAGTTTCTTTCTCCTTATTTGTTCTTCAGATTAGTCCTGTTAGACTTTTTACCCTTTGCTCAACAAGGCAACGTTACAAATGATCTGTACCTTGCTTAATTCAGTGATCAATTTTGAATCCTCACTCACTTGATCCTTTAGCAGCATTGGACACAGTCGATTATTCTAATTTTTTAAAAGGAATTGAGTCCCTGGTGCACCATGGATTTCCTCCATACTTATTCACTGCATCTTCTTAGTCTCCTTTGTTGGTCCTCTTTCTCTGCCCGATGTGTAAATGCTAAAGATTCCCATGGCTTCATTCTTGAGAATTTCCTCTTCTCTATATACTCATGAGGTGGTTCCTCATTCAATCTTTTGGTCTTCCATGTTATCTATAATATGATGGCTGCCAAATTTATTTGTTTAACATGATCTTTTCTGAATTTCAGACTCATAGAAGGAACTCTCTTCAACATCTTCACTTGAAAGACTAATGGATTTCTCAAGCATAAGTACAAAGCCAGATTCTTGCTCTCCCCCTCCAAACCTGGTGTTTCCATAGTCTTTCCTATCTTAGGATATTGCAACTCCATTCTTTCAGTTACTCAGGTGTCATCTTTGATTCGTCTCTTTTCTTCACCCTTTGCATCCCATTCTTTAGCAAATCCAGTTGCCACTATCCTGAAAAGGCATCAAGGCTCTGACCATATCTTACCACATTTATTGCTACTTAAACTGATTCTTGGATAATCTAGACATTATCATCTCTAGCTTAGTTTATTGAAGCTAAACTCTTAATTAGTCTTACTGTTTTTCTCTTGGTCCCTCACAATGTATTATCCACCAATTACCGAGAATGGTCTTATTAACATGCATCACTTTATGTGATTCCTTCTGTCCAAACTTTTCAATAACTTACATTTTCAGAGTATTAGGCAAAGTTCTGATAGCCTCCAGGATCTACATGATCTAGCCTGATGTTCTCTGGCTTCATATCTTACTACTCTCCCCCTCCCTCACTCTGAGCCTATTGCCAAGTATTTTTGGCATCTACTGAACATGCCAAACACATTCTGCTTCAAGGGTCTTTGCTCAGTGTTCCTTCTTCCTGGAATGTAACCTTCTCAGTCACAGGTCTATCCTTTCCTCTCCTTTCAGGTCTCTATTAAAATGCATCACTCTGTGAATCTTCTCTAAGCACCCTATGCAAAATAGACCTGCCCACTCCCGCCCTGGCACCTCTAAGCCCTTTTGTGCCTTGTATTAGTCACCATCTAAAATGTTATACATTTACTTGTTTGTTTACTTACTTTTCATAGCCCGACTCCTCTCCTTAAAATGTAGCTCTGTGAGAATAAAAATTGGGTCTGTTTTGTTTACCACCGTATCTTTATTGCCTAGAACAGTAGATTGGCAATAGATTTTTATTGAATGAACGTATAATATACATTTGCAAAGTTGGAAAGGTACCTGGTACATAGCAAACACCCAATAAAAGTAAACTATGGGCCTTCTCCTCTAGGAAGTCCCCTCTCACTGGAGAGAGAGAGCTGTATTCCTTTCTCTTTCTCTTGCCTATTAAAAACTCTACTTCAAAAATAAAGACAGTAAGCTATGATTATTTTAGATTCTAATGATGAGGAGGTTGTAGAGTAGAGTAAATAAAAGTACACACTAAGAACCACACCACCTGGGTTCAATTTCCAGCACTTAACCTTCCTACCTGTAAACCTTGGGCATATCTGATCTCTCTCTGCTTCAGTTTTCTTTTATCTCCTGAAATGAGAATAGCAATGTTATCTAACTTGTAGCAATTGTTGTGAGGATTCAATGAAGTGATTTATGTAAATCACTGAAAACAATGCCTCCCATATGTCAATAGATAGATAAGTGTTGATTTTCTAAGAGCTATATAAATGTCGATTTTTGATATTATTACTTTTATTGGTCCAATTGTATCTGCTACTATTTTTTTTCTCTCTTCTGCTCTCTGAGCTCCAGGTTTTCGGGCTTCCCCTCTTTATTCCGATATGCAATGCTTTCTCCCATTAAAGGACCTCTAGACACAATTACCTCTTTATCTGTAGTCCTGTCCTCTCCTCCTTGTGGCCAAATTAATTTCTCCATTTTCAGTTCTCAGTTCAATGTTCACTATCTCAAGAAAGTCTCCCCTAATGCCTAAGTCTAGGCCACATTTCTCTGTGAAACAAGATTCTTTTACTTCTGAAAATTTATGTTGGTGTGTCCCACACTTGTTAGTCTAAATATTTGAATATTTGTCTCCT